CTCAGGGTCCTCCTGCCTCAGCTTCCAGAGCCGCTGAAGATTACAGGCGTTTGCCACATCACCCAGCTATATGATGTATTATTGACAAATACTTTTTTGAAGCTGGAATTTGCTACCTAGACACTACCCACAGGTTAGTGTACTCAAAATCTGCACTTAAGATATTTATTTGGAAAATTTTGAGTCCCATAAGTCTAGCCTTATTTCCTTATGAACCATACCTATTAATGATTTCTTCAGTTGTGTTGACATTTAATACTGAGAGTTCACATAAAAAGCCGTATTTCTAAATCTGGAGAAAAATGAGATCTGGCAACCAGTTGACATCTTTGTTTAGACTACAATGATGACGCATTTGCTGCAATTCCTTACCAGTTCCTATTGCATTCCCTTTGATTTAATCCACTTATTTCTGTTTCCTGTCTGTATGGTAGAGGCATTTGAATATGTGGCCCTAGTTTTCATAGTGTATGTGTGTGTATTTATATACATGTTTTATTTTTTAATGATTACAATTACAAATGTCAGTCTTAACTACATTTTAAAAGGAATAAAAATAAATAAATAAATAAATAATAAAAGGAATAAACTGTAAATTTGTTTGACTTCTTGGTGTGAAAGTTAACATTTTTAAGTAACAGATTAAAAGACATTCACCTCCAGGGACTCAGGAGGCTGAAGCAGGAGGATCCAATCGCAAGGTCAAAGCCAGCCTCAGCAATTTAACAAGGCTTTAAGTAACTCAGTGAGACCTTGTCTGTAATACAAAAAAGGGCTGGAGTTGTGGTTCAAGAGTTAAGCACCCCTGGATTTACTCCCCAGTACCAAAAAAAAAAGAGAGAGAGAGAGAGAAAGATATTTAACTATTAAACTCAAGAAAAAATTGTGATTTTTAATTAGTTACTGGTAAAAGACACTATGTGTATTGTATTTCTAATGAATGAAGCTGAAGGAAATGCTATTACATAGTGTGTTCTACTAGCATTTATTCTGCATTCTAAATTAAATCAAGACAGAAATAGCCAGAATATAAGACATTCGTAATTGATTTAAAATGTGGTCATATTTTTAATAGAATTGTGATTTAACTTCTCCCCAAGATTTTAACTTTTTAGAGGTTTAATGAATTCAGCTGTTTTAGATCCTTCAGAGTGGTAGGTATAAGAGATTAGGACAGACCAAAGAATAACTATATTTCTGCTGTTAATTTGGATTTACAACACCTCAGAAGTAGATTAACTCCTGACTAGTCTCTGACCTCACTCCCTGACCTACTGCATTCTAAACCACTGGCAATGGAACTTAAGCCTTTTGTGAAGGATATGATGATAGCATAAAAAAGAAAAAATTATATTGCTATGTATGTCTGTATGTATCTCATATTGCTTTCTAAAGTCAAATATAAGAAGTATAAGGCTAAATATCACTTTTGCATAATGATTTTTCTGCTGCTTTCCACTTTGATAGTTTGATAACTTTGCCATACATTTCACTTAGCCAATATTTAATTTCTATTTTCCTAATAAAAAGGTTTAGGATATAATCCCCAAGTCATGAAGTACATTATTTTAAAGTATCCAGTGCGGTGATGGTTTTTTTTTTTTTAACCTGTCCAAGATTTTATTAGCAGGACCGTAGTGGCCAGTCTCAGAAGAGAAGGGGGGAGGGAGAAAGAGAGAGAGAGAAAAGAGGGGGAAGAGGGGGGAGAGAGAGAAAGGAGAGGGGATGGAGAGAGAGGGGAGAGTAAGAGAGAGAGGGAGAGAAAGAGAGTAAGAGAGGGAGCACAAACAGGGTGTTGATATTTATGGGCTTAACACAGGATGAGGAGGAGCAAGGCGAGTGAGCTGGTACTTCTTCATTGGCCAAGAGTTTGCACCACTTCAGGGATTGGAGGTGCACCATTCAAAGTTCGCACCATTCACAGTGATTGGAGGTGATGGTTCGCGCACCATTCAGTGCGTCATGGACCTGAGTTCCCAGAAGAGAAGCACTCCGGGTGCCATCTTTACCAACATTCCTCCCTTTTTTGTTTTGGTTTGGGGGTGTCGTAATCAATCTGGCTACTTCCTGCTGAGTAAGGGCGGCGTTTAGAGGGAGGGAGGGAGGTCAGTTGGTTGGAGAAGAAGAGCCAGGAGGCCCCATATCCATGCACTGAAGACATGGATTTCCTCTGGGGAGAAGTCCATGAATGTACCCTGCAACAGTCTGCAGGCCGGTGGTGGATGTCAGGCAGGCGATCAGAGGAGTGGACTACGACAGGAATGGTTGGGCTCGGAATTTGGGAACGGGGTTCCACTTTGAGCGACAAGGATCCCGGTCCCAGGTTTCAGCACCAATGTAAGGGACGATGGAAAAGCTCCGTAAACTCAATAAGCCAAAACAACCGTTTACCTGTCCAAGATTTTATTAGCAGGACCGTAGCGGTCAGTCACAGAAGAGAAGGCGGGAGAGAGAGAGAAGAGGAGAGGAGAGGAGGATGTGAGAGAGAGGAGGGGGAGAGAGAAAGGAGAGTGGGTGGAGAGAAAGGGGAGAGTAAGAGAGAGAGGGAGAGCCGGAGTGCAAGAGAGTAAGAGTAAGAGCGCAGTGATGGTTTTTAATATATTCGTAGAATTATGCAACCATCACCAATATCTTATTTCAAAACATTTCCAACACCTCAATAGAAATTCCTCTGTTAGCAGTCTCCCCCCAGTTTTCCCTGCCCCTAGCTTCTGGTAACTCTTAATGTTTTGTTTTTTTTTTAAATCTATGAATTTGCTTATTCAATCTCATATAAATGGAACACATAGCCTTTTGTGACTGGCTTTATTCAAGTAACATGTTTTCAAGCTTTGTTCAAGTTTTAGCATGTATCAGTACTGAATCCCTTTTAATTGCAAAATAATAGTCCATTGTATGGATATACCACTGTTTTAATCTTTTCTCAGTTGATCATGATTTGGTTTGTTTCTGTGTTTTGTCTATTACATGATTTTGATAAGAACATTTGTCTACAAGTTTTTGTAGGGACACACATTTTCATTTCTCTTGAATCTCTTGGTCATATGGAAACCATATATAAACTTTTGAGGAACTACCAGACTTTTTTTTTAGTAACCAGACTTTAAAATAAAATAAAAAAAAATTAAAACAGTGCCTGCATGATTTATATTCCAACTAGTCGCAGTGGCATAAGAGGGTTTCAATTTCTAAATTTTTACCAACACTTAAAATATTGTCCTTTTGAGGATAGCCATCCTAGTGGATGTGAAGTGGTACCTCATTGTGGTTTTGTTTTGCAGTGCTGACGATCAGTCCCAGGGCCTTACTAATGCTAGATAAGTGCTTCACATGAGCTATACCCCCAGCCTATAACTGTGGGTTTTTTTTTTTTTTAAATGGAGGTGGGGGTTACCAGGGATTGAACCAGGGCATTCAACCACTGAGCTATACACATCCCCAGCCCTATTTTGTATTTTATATAGAGATAGGTTCTCATTGAGTTGCTTAGCGCTTTGCTTTTGCTGAGGCTGGTGGCTGGGATTATACGCATCAGCTTATCATTGTGGTTTTGATTTATGTATACTGATGATTGATGATCTTCATCATATATCTTTGTTCATTGGATATATTTGGAGAATTATATGTTCAGATTCTTTTGACCATTTGCACATCTTTGGAGAAATAACTGTCCAAAACCTTTGCCTGTTTAATTGAGTTACAATTGTGTTATTTATATATTTTATATATACCT